CACAAAATTTGAACAAATAGTAAGATGAGTATCTATATTTAACTGTGAAAATTGTAGACATCAAATTTCACCTCTCAAGATTTCAAATGTATCTCCTAAAGTCAAAAACATTCCATAATATAATCACAATATATCATCATACCCCCAAATTCAACATTGATACAATAATTTTATCTATTATTATAGCCAGAATTCAAATTTAACCAATTGTTCCCAAAATATATTGTATAGGTTATTTTTTTCATGCTGGAGCCAATTAAGAACTACGTATTTCATTTGGTCTTTAGTTTTCTTTAATCTAACAAGATCTCTTACCATTTTTTGTCTTTTGATATTGACATTTTTATGAGGAGTCTAGGCCAGTTGTTATGTAGAAATTCCCCACAATCTGGACGTCTGACTTTAAACATTTTGATAAGAATCTTACACAGGCTAATAGTTCTAAAATATCTGGTTTCATGTACCCTTTATGTGTTTAAAAATTATTGGGATCCTAATGAGTTGTTATTTGGATTACTATAGATCAATATTTATCATATGAGAGATTAAAACAAAATTTTTGAAATCTTTTATTAACTCATTTAAAACAAGCAAACTTATTAGATGGTGACATGTTTTACATGTTTATAGTCATTTAATGTCTGCCGTAATAGAACGCAGCTGGGTCTCATACCTTCGTCTACATTCACCTTTTGCAATATTTTGTTTTGGTTGAAGCATCTGAAGAAAATGTGTCACACAGATGTCTGTTTGGAAATGGAGGAGTGCTTTAATTGTCTTTTCAGGTTTGACAAGTGGAGGTCATTTCATTAAGCATTGCAAAAGGATGATTTTCTACTGTTATTTCTTTCTAATTTTATTGGCTATAAATCTTCTTTTAATAGTTCTTTCTCCCTTCCAAAAGTAATCTAGTAATCTTAAAATATGTTTTTTGCTGGAAGGCTTATTAGATGTTTAATTATCTCCCTTTATTTACCAATTTTTGAAGTAATGAGTTTGTGCCTTAGCAGCCTCCAGTAGTTTCTAGTGAATTCATTTTGTTTCTTTCTTTCCTGTTTTTTTTTTCTTACATATTATATGTACTCATGGCTTTTTATATACTCAATGCATTTTAATCATTTAAACTAAATTATTTTTAATGTTTAAATGGTCTTATCTTCGGTCAGTGTGTCTCAGACAATTTTATTAGCTCTCAATAACTCCAAATTATATCACAACAAAGTAACCCAAGCTCAACTTGACCATTTCCAGTGCCAGCCATGTCCCCAAGAAACCTTGTGTTATGCAGAGTGCTGAAAACCTCGTGATCAGGACTTAGGTGCCAGCTGGTGGTGGCCGACCAGGACCAGCGAAGTTTAATGCCGCACTGGCTGCTCTCAGTGAGGTTGTCTGGCTAAGTTCATCTGGCCTGCGGATGGGCGACATTAGGGCCGCTGGCCAGCGCTATTGTTTTGCCGCCAGCCAGACTTCCCCAAGACAAGGTTTTATAGAATACAGAAAACAGTAAAACAGGGCCAGCGGGGGTGGGGGAGGCAGACCGCCCATGAGCAAGCTGTGTTCTCTCAAAACACTGGCCATGTACAACCCAGATTCACCTCCAGAAGCAGCTCCTTTTTGGCCTTTCTCAGGCCCGGTTGCTGCCGTGGTCTCCCGGTCCGCTTACAGGTGGCCTTCACTCTGTTTCCACAGGGCGAAGGGGGAGGTGGGCGTGGGAAGGGGCTCATGTCCCCAGTTCCCATACACCCTGCTCCTTTTAGATGAAAATATTAGACACGACAGTCCGGATGCAGCATTGATTGCTGCTACAGTACTCTTTACTTCTGGGCATTTTCAGTAGACGGTATCAGCAATGATAATAGCATTTCAAGAAGATAAAAGGGATTATTTAAAAGAAAAAAAATAGTGTTGGGATATAGCTGACAAACAATAAATACTTGTTGAATGAATGGGATTTTGTGAAACTATACATTCACTTAACAAATATTAAAAAAAAAAAAAAGATATTATGTACCCTGTACAGATAGGTTGGAAGGAAACAAGAAAATGAAAATGATGACATGCTAATGAGATTGTAGATAATTTTCTGTTTTGAATTTCCTTAATTGGCTGCAAAATGTTTCTAATACAATTTATTAAATTAAAAAAATGTAGATAATTGCTATATTCTTTTTTTGTATACACTGAGTTTGAGCTACCTGCAGAGCGATGGTCAGAGCTCAGGATTAGACTTTAGAGCCATGAGAAGATGGTGAAACTACCCACATAGTGTACAGAGTGAAACACAGCATGTAAAGGAGAGGCAAAGGAAGAGGGATTGGCAAAGGGAACTAGGAAGGGACTATTGGAAAGACAGAGGAAGATTCATAAGAGTCCTGCCCTCTCCTTCCCGTCCCCCTTCCCAGCCCCCTTTATAAGATGGCTTGGGTCATGTTAAGAACAAGAATTCCTTCTCCCCTTCCTTCCTTAAAGGAAGGGGGCAGGTGGGGAGAGAAACTGCCAGTGGCAAGTTATTTATATGGAATGTCAAGAAAAACAATCCATAGTATTTAGAAATGAAGAAATCTTTGATGATGTTAAGCCACGTTATGAGGACAGTGAAGCGTGGCCACTTTATAAACCAAATAACAGTATGCTGAGGAGTAAAGAAGTTGGCTAATTAGAAAGTCAAATAAAGATGACTTTTCAACACCTTAGATGACAAAAAGAGGGATGGAGTCAGGGAGAATTTAGAACAAGACTGAACTCCTTTCTCTGTCTCTCACTGCTTCTCTGTCTCTCTCTCGACGCTGGAATTTTTGGAATGAAAAACTTGAGGATATCACTGGACAGGGGAGACTAAATAATTTAGAAGAGAAAGGGGGAAATGGGTGGGGAAGATTTGAAAGCAGGCAGGAAGGAATGGTTTCAAGTACAGAGACTGAGAGTACTGGTAAAGGGGCACTCTTTCTCCGAGGCATTGAAGAAGAGGGTACTGTTATAAATCATTTAAGAAGCAGGAAGGAGACAGGTCTGCAGCATTCCAGCTGTCAAGATTTCACGCTCTTTTTTTCTGAGTGTTTGTGACCTAGGAGCAGAGAATAGGACAGCATGCTTTCAAACAACAATTACACCCATGAACACTGTTTAAGTTTATTCGTTATATATTATGGAAAATCTTGTTTCCTATTTTCTGTTCTTTCCTCTGGTGAGAAACTTGTTTAGATGAATTATTTATAGATAGATAGATAGATAGATAGATAGATAGATAGATAGATAGATAGATAAAAGAAGGAAAAAGAGAAAGAAGGAGGGAGGGAGGGAAGGAGGGAGGGAGGGAGGGGAAGGAAGGAAGGAAGGAAGGAAGGAAGGAAGGAAGGAAGGAAGGAAGGAAGGAAGGAAGGAAGGAAGGAAAGAAAGAAGGAAAGAAGGAAAGAAGGAAGAAAGGGAGAAGGGAGGGAGAGAGAGCCAGAGGGAGGAGAAGGAAGGAAGGGGAGAAGGAATTCTTGTTCATAACATGACCCAAGCCATCTTATAAAGCAAGCCGATTGCCAGTTCACCCGGAAGGGGTGGGCCTGTATCACTTAAAGGGATTATTCTTACATTGTATACTGCTTTAGTTATTCAGCTCTCACATAATACGTGGCACATGCCACTTGGCTCTTTAATAACAAGCCCCCTGGGCTTTTCAGTGAGGAGATGTACCATCTTGCTGTTGCCCAAAACTGCTTATATGTCCGTTCTCTTAAAAATTTGTAATTCTGGAGTTGTCAGCCTCTTTAGTCTCTTTCTCAGCACTGCTCAGGATTCCTAATAAAGAGAATAAAATAGTATGTGTGTAGTATGTGAACATAATTTTGTGGAAGAATATCTTTTTAAGAAAAGACCACTTATTCTTTGCCAAAAACGCCCATATTAAAATGTTCACATTGAAGAATGTGAATAAGCTGATGTAAATAAGCTGATGATGTTGAAATACTCATCTCTGTTTTATAGGAATTTGTTGGAAAATAGGAGTGCCAAAGAAGTAAATTTTCCACTTAATTTAATATTTAAATGTCTAAGCTAACAAGTTGTGTGTTTTTTTTTTTCATTTTTGTTCAATCTAAATTAGATTGTTCCATGCCTCATTAAACAAAACACATGTTTTTTATTTGTAAAATCATCCTTGTTGGATATTACATTCATATTGTGGACCTTTTGGAGGTTAAAATAGTTTCCTCGACATAAAATGATCCCAGGGTCACATATCTATATATATCTATATATATATAGATATATATAGATATATATATATAGATAGATAGATAGATATAGATATAGATATAGATATAGATATAGATATAGATTATATTTCTTTTATTTTTATTTTTGGTAATTTTTTTTGTCCTCTCCTTCATTGAGTATTTCTTATTGTTTTAAATTGTTCTCCCTTTATCATTATTTCTATTCATCTTGTTTTCTAAATTTTGGCCAAAATAAACCAGGTGACCAAGTCATTACAATTAGTGACATTCTTTACACACTATTCATAATCATTAGACCCTTTAAAAGTGAGCTAACTCCAGGATTTTTTAGTAGAATTAAACATAGGTTTATACAAAATTAGTCTAAAGACTTATTTCATTTGTCTGTCTGAATCTGTTTCCTTGAATGTTTAGATTTTAGAGAAAATAAAAGGGAGGAGGGGAGTTCACTAGAGTTTGACTGTTTTATATAACTAATGCTTCTCAGCAACTTGAAATGCCAGAAAGGTCTAAGGGCATTTTGATGATGGCACCATTAAAAAGATACACACATCTATAACAAAAGGTTTTTAAAAAGCCATGGAATGTATTTCTAAGCTGTGTTCACCTCTGCGAGGCTCCTGAAGGCACAGGTAAAGTCCTGAGCAGGCATGGAGCATTGCCCATGTTCAGCTATGCTAAGCAAGAGGCTGTCCGAGATAGCCATGCACTTGCTGATGTGTACTTGTCTTCCTTTTCATTTGTCATTGTAAATAACTTTTACCTTTTTCTATTTAGGACAGCATAATTACTTATGTGCTGGAAGGAATGACTGCATCGTTGATAAAATCCGCAGGAAAAACTGCCCAGCATGTCGCCTTAGGAAGTGCTGTCAGGCCGGCATGGTCCTTGGAGGTAATGTTGATGTTTTCATCAGCAGTATACTGATATTTACCCTGTACAACTGCGGGTCAGAAAATTCAAATTTTGTTATTCACCTTTGTTCTTTCTTTGCTTTTTCTATCTTGATTATTGTTGTCTGAATGAAGCAACCAATGCTATCTCATTATCTGTATAGATTCCTCCCAGCATATAAGGTCTGTTATGAGAGGTAATAAATCTCCATTTTTCTATATTGCTTACAATGATATGTTATGGCCCAGCTGGTGTGGCTCAGAGGTTGGGCATTAAGCCAGGAACCAAGAGGCCACTGGTTAGATTCCTGGTCAGGGCATGTGCCCAGGTTGAGGGCTTGATCCCCTATGGGAGGGCATGCGGGAAGCAGCGTATAGAAGATGTTCCTCTCATTATGGATGATTCTATGTCTCTATCCCTCTCCCTTCCACTCTCTAAAAAAAAAATCAATAAAATATTTATATATATATATATATATATATATATATATATATATGTATGTTATGGGTGTTCACCAACCTTTCATTAAGTGACATGAATTGGAGTCCTGAAACTGCATTTATTGCCTGCATGACCTTGAATAAGCCACCGACCTGTTCTGGGCATCAGCCTCCTTGTCTATAAAATGAGAGCACTAAAGACCCTTCCAGACCAAAAGCTGCTTCTGTGAATCCAGAACATTAATCTCCATCCCTCTCACTCTCCATCAACCCCTCCGCATTCTCTTTATATAACTGTATGTTGAACCCTAATACTTACCAGGTACTGTTTCAAGTTCTGGAGTATAGCACAAAACCAAATGGACCTTGTGACCCACAGGTTGAGAACCACTGCTGTAGAGCCTAAGACCATCGGAAAACACAGATATTTACATTATGATTCATTAACAGTAACAAAATTACAGTTATGAAGTAGCAACAAAAATAATTTTATGGTTGGGAGTCACCACCACATGAGGAGCTGTGTTAAAGGGTTGCGGCATTAGGAAGGCTGAGAACCGCTGCTCTTCTCCCACCCATCCTTTGGGAACTCTGCGGAACGTTCACCTGTCCTTGCATGTTTGTTACTTTTGCCTGCACCATTCTCCCTTCACTCCTTATCAACTCTTACTTAGCATGGTGTGTGTGTGTGTGTGTGTGTGTGTGTGTGTGTGTGTGTGTGTGTGAGAGAGAGAGAGAGAGAGAGAGAGAGAGAGAGAGAGAGAGAGGGAGAGGGGAGGGAGAGGGAAGGGGAAGGGAGGGGAGGGGAGGGGAGGGGAGGGGAGGGGAGGGGAGGAGAGGGGAGGGGAGGGGAGGAGAGGAGAGGAGAGGAGAGGAGAGGAGAGGAGAGGAGAGGAGAGGAGAGGAGAGGAGAGGAGAGGAGAATGAGACATTGGGAATTCATTCCTTTTCTCATTCTCTCCCCCCCCCCGCCATAGTTTATTAATCACCTTCATTATAATACTTGTTTGTTTGTTTTTTAACATATTTTATTGATTCTTTACAGAGAGGAAAAGAGGGGGGGGATAGAGAGTTAGAAGCATCGATGAGAGAGAATCATCGATCAGCTGCCTCATGCACACCCCCCACTGGGGATGTGCCCGCAACCAAGGTACATGCCCTTGACCGGAATCGAACTGGGGACCCTTCAGTTCGCAAGCCAAAGCTCTAACCACTGAGCCAGACTGGTTTTGGCTGCCTTCCTGTTTTATGACTATTTACCAGTACTTGATTCAAGGACTTTCTCCTTATCCAACATTGAACTGTTTGAAAGCAGGATTTCATTTCAGTGTTTTCATGGTGCAAAACTTTTTCTTTGCAGCCTTAGTTTTAGCGTGTGCCCCTTCTCTGGGCCTTCTTCTGAGCTTTAAGTAGATCTTGGCTAAGTCCCGAAATGGTTTTCTGCAGCTCCTTAGCAAATTCTAGGTTATGTAGCACTTCTCTACTGAAGCACATTTCTCTACTGCTTCCAATTTGTCTGGATTAAGTTGCTCTCCATTTTTCAGGTGTTCCTTGTAATCTTCCAATTTGAGCTTCTTTTTCTCTTTGTTCCTAATTTTGTGCTTGAGGCACATGAATCTGTTGTCAATGACTTGCGAAGGGGAGGCTCTCTGGCTTTCCCCATGCTGACTCTGGTTCATGTGGGGCTCTGCTCACTTCATTGTCTCCTCTCTTCCCTTCCTGAATGGCCGGAGGTAACACAACCAGGAGATGAAGAGAACAGAACCATTCAAACAGCTGAGGCTCTTCAGGCTGCCTTGGCCCCTGTGGCTTCCAAAGTCAGGAGAGCTGCAGGAGGTGGGCAGGTGCCACCTACCTTAAGTCTCGGTTCCTCCTGCTCCATCCTCTCCACCAGGGTCCCTGCTGGCAGTGTATTCAGGAGGGAGCTCAGCCAAATCAGCGCTGTGGCTTTCTGTGCATTCTTGAATATAAAGTTGTCATTTCCAGGACACAGAAAGAGTATTTGAAGAAGGAAAAGGAGACATGGTCTGAAATAGTGATTTCCACTTTGAGGAAGGGTGCCCTCTCTTGAGGTAGCTTCCATTCCGTGATTGCATTTGTTCTAATCATCTATTATTATAATGAAAATGTGATTAAAAATGAGCAAAATAATATGATAAACCCATGGCCACGGATAAACTGGGATTCATTTAGAAGGGAGACTCAGTTCCAGTCAGAAACAAGACGAAATGCAAAGAAATAGAGTTATAAGAAGAGAGCCTCAGAGAAAACTCAGAACTGGGATGAAAGGAACCAAAGTAACATCAGAGCAGAATCACCAGCAAGCCCTCGTTAGTGCAAAGCTGTGTTCATTGACTCCAGTTTTCTTCTTCCTCATAAGGGCGGAACGGGTTCCTTTGTAGGGCTGAGTTTAACTCAGAGCTAAACAGCCCCATCCTCAGAGATCAGAGTGGAAAGTAGTCAGAAGTACTGGTATGAGCAGTTGGTTATCTCTGTCCAGTCATACTGTCCTTAGTTTTGTTGTTTTCCCATCACTTTCCCAAGGTCCCGTGTTGCCATCCTGAAGCCCAGTTCTGAAATCTCATGACTATTTCCCCCTTTGCATAATTTACTTCAGTCAATGAACCATCTTTTATGGGTTAGACCATAAAATTATTTATCCCAACCAGGACACTGCTGAGGATGAGATGGAACACTATCAATAATTAAAATTAGTATAACAGATGCAAACCCAGACTTTCCCAGACTAATTGGACCATGGGGAAAACCCCCATTTTTCCCATTAAAAGATGCAAATATGTTTCAGCCAAAATGAATACCTAAATTTCTGGGGGTGTAGCTGAAATAGTCAAATGTCTATTTATACAGTATTTAACATATTAACATGTTATTTTCATTAGACACAAATATAAATATCTCTTCATTTAGAAGTCTTGTGTTTCTACTTTCACATTTCTTTCAAACTAATTTTACAGCCTATTGGCAGCAGGGTCCTTGCTTCAGGAGAGCTGCTAATCATTCGTTAGAGCTCATAATTTTGTCTAAGATGTTTGATATGTGTTTTTGAGTTAATATAAATCTCAATAAGCCAAAAATATCCATTCACATAATGTAAAAGTTTTATTATTTGCCCTATAATAGGTACTATTTTTTATTCCCCATAATATAACAATTTGCTGCATTATTAATTAGAAAATATATTAAGCCCACTATAAATATTTTTTAAATAAACACTGATGTCTCTGTCACTCAATTTTTAACATCAGATTATGTTTTATATGTTTAAAATTTGTTATATTTTATAAAGAATAAGATATTACAAATATTTTGAAGCTTCTGATATGTTCTTTTCTGAACCCATTAGATTCATTTTTTTCCTCACAAGTCACTTTACTAAATTATTGTCTGATATCTTCATACTTGTAATTCATATGTATGAATCTTTAGGTAATATGGTGTTATTTTTAACTAGAGGCTTGATGCATGAATTTTGTGCAAGGGGCTTGGCCCTCGCAGCCCCAGCTTCCTCTGGATGGTTGTTCTGCTGTTCAGACTAATTAGTATATTAGTTCTTAATCATATAGGATAGTTATATAATGGTATTGTTTTATACCTTTTTAATTTGCTTTTCTCATACATTGTGTTTTTCTTTTGTTCACATATGTATGCATACTAGAGGCTTGGTGCACGAAATTCATGCATGGGGAGGGAGGGTGTCCTCTACTCCAGCCTGCACCCTTTCCAATCTGGGATCCCTTGAGGGATGTTTGACTGCCCATTTAGGCCCGATCCTGGTGCAGGACTGCTGGCTCCCAATTGCTTGCCTGCCTGCCTCTGCCTGATTGCCCCTAACTGCTTCTGCCTGCCAGCCTGATCACCTTTTAACCACTCCCCTGCCAGCCTGATCCATGCCTAACTGCTCCATGGCTGGTCTGGTCACCCCTAACTGCCTTCGCCTGCCTGTCTGGTCGCCCCTGACTATCCTTCCCCCTGCAGTCCTGATTCCCCCCAGCTGCCCTCCCCCGCTGATCTGGTCTCCCCCAACTGCCCTCCTCTGCCAGCTCAGTCACCCCTACCTGCCCTTTTTGCTTGCCTGATTGCCTCCAACTGCCCTCCCTTGCTGGTCTGGTCTCCTCCAACTGCCCTCCCCTGAAGGCCATCTTGTGGTAGCCATCTTGTGTCCACATGGGGGCAGCCATCTTGTGTCTTGGAGTGATGGTCAATTTGCATATTAGTCTTTTATTAGATAGGATAACTAGTGTTTCATTTTTAACTTCTGTGTGATAAATTTCATGAATATTCCACAGTGCTTTTCTTTCTTAATGGCTACTTTTAATTTTTCATAATTAAATAATGTGCTACAAATCTTTGAGCATGTGCTTGAGAAGTTTTCAAGGTCGTATATCTAAAAAGGGAATTTCTGGTCTATTAAGATATTATGTATTTTCAACCTCACTAAATGTTTCCTAACCAACAAGTCACTCTCCAAAGTGTGTGTTTCCTCCACTGTATGGATTTTTTGTTACCATGCATCCTCACCTGTGCTTGGTATTTTCACAC